TGAATATATTATCCATTACGATTAACTCTACAAGAGTTAATATATTATCTGTCATGATTAACTCTACAATAATGAATATATTATCCATTAGGATTAATTATACAATAGTGCATATATTATCCATAACGATTAACTCTACAATTGTGAATATGTTATCCATAACGATTAACTCTACAATAGTGAATATATTATCTATTAAGATTAATTTTATAATAGTGAATATATTATCCATTACGATTAACTCTACAAGAGTAAATATATTATCCATTACGATTAACTCTAGAACAGTAAATAAAAAATGCACAAAAAAGCACGCATGTTAGAATTACAAGGAACAGAAAATCAGCTCAAAATGGCCCATTTGTCATTCTTCTGATTATCATTATTCTCTTGACAACCTACAACAAAAAGAGCTAGGTATATTGCACCTAAAACTTTTGTAGAATACTAAATAAGGAACTTTGAAGGTTGTAGGATGTATTGAAAAGTCGACTTGTTTCTTCTATATTTTACATAAGCTAAAAACATAATAATTCTAGTGTAATCAATGTTATCATTACCCCTTGAAGTTAGCTTTCTTAATGATATGTGGTGTTCTTTTAAAAAGCTTAAATATAGGGTGAAGCAAGAATTACCAGCCAATATTAGATGGACATTAAATGACTGTAACACTTAGATATTCAATACAATGCCATGTTCGAAGTATGACATTTTTAGATAGTAAACATTCATATATAAAACTTATTTTTTTCATAGACTGTTTAGGCAGAGTATTCATGATGAAACCTAGTCTGAAAGCGAAAGGCAGAAGACATTCGAAACGTCGTCCTATACACCAGTGTTTCTACAACAGGCAGTTGCCGTACATTCAACAATAAGTTACATCATAAGACTTATTGTTGAACACGAACCACAATCTAGTTTACCAATCTCAGCTCATAATTGACAGGATAATTTTGAAGTAGGTATAATACCGCAAACCAACATTTTCGGGACTTTAGTAGTCTTGATCGTTAGATATTTAAGGTAAATTTATTTAAGACACTAATTTACTGTACTTAAAGGATTATAAGCAGTTATTCTAATTTGCATGATGAAATAAATCGTATTAAAAAGTTTTTAAATGCAATGTGTTTAAAAGAAATTTTATTGATAGTAATGCTAAATACATTTACCAACCCTAAGTCTTAAAATTTAATGTACCAAAGAAACCAATAATTCTAACCTTTGGCAGCCTTTAACGAAAAGGCGAAATTAATATGCCATTAAGCCTATCCTAATATAAAAGATTACCACATTACCATCTGGATAAATTTATAATGCATCATGAGTATAACACAACATATGTTAACAGTATTCGTTTTCCTATTTATGATTTAAAAAAAAAAACACGAAGTCTGTATCTCACCCTTATTAATTCCGGAATACAAACAAGAGGGCAGCCAGCCATTCAAAAAAATAAAAAAATTCCTACCACCCACCATCCACGCCCAGGATTAATTGTCACATTTATAACACACCGCTAATATAATATTTGAAAATATAATATTTTGGAGTATCACACGCATTCGAACCGGGCTCGCCAGCTTAGATATCCATAGCTCTACCACAGGGATAATCCGTGTTTCTAAAATTCACCTTACCAATGACAACTTTGTGCTAGTGAATTAAACTGAGGTGAGGAGCAATTAAAATAGTTGAATAATTATTAAACTGAAGACCATATTGACTCCATGGAATTAACCAACTCCACTTCTAATATAATAAGTTTAAGTATATTTCCCTGTTAATGTGAATAATTATTAAAC